GCGCTCCGCTTAACACATCTGTCTGTGCAACACTAGCTCCAAGATTTTAGTAACTATAACATAATTTAATAGGAAAATGCGCTTACTAAGAAATTTTTCTAATACATGTCTTAAGATTTGGTTCTAAGTTCACTCTTGGTATCCCTACATCAAAACAAAATGGCTCAAAAATTTACATAATTTTAGGTATTGTACAGAAGAAAGAATGGACCTGTCCTGACTGCAGTGTTTCAAGTATGAAATCCTTTAGAGGATCTCATTCTCCACTGAAGCTTTCCTCATGCTTTCAACTTGTTTTTTACTTACTTGACCAAAATGTTAACAAAGTATTCATACAGTATTTCCCACAGGTGTAGGTACACTAAATGGAGACTGCAGAATCAACGACTTGGAAAACAGTACTGAAAACAGTACATGTTCAAACAACTTTTGCACTAGTAATTCCCTAGCATGCTAAATTTTTGAATCTATTAGTGCACTTCCAAATTCAAAAATATTCTAGTGCAGAATATTTTGTCTGCTTTTCTCCAAGGATGCTTGACCAGAGGGCTGTTAGCAAGAGGTGGAATACTGTCAGTGGAACTAAAAAGATGATAGTAAATAAATAAATAAATCACTCACAAACCATTTTCAGGGAATGAGTGCAAAAAAAAATATATTCAGAGGAAAATACAGTGGGATTTAACTTAAAGTTTAAAGAATTCACAAAGTTTAAATTACTGAGTGAACAACAACTATCTTGGGAGAATCCTTATGGCAGCACAAATCAGAAATAAATCAGCAGAAAGGAGTATGTATGTTTTTCTGAGAAGAGAAATCTCTATGTCATCATTAGTATTAAAAATAAAAATAAAAATAAATTAATCTTACTATCCTATTCAGAAAGCATATCTCTTCCAGAGCCTCTGCTCATCTGAAAGATACCAAGATGAACCAGTGAGGAAAGCTATAAAACCAGAATCCCAAACGAATAAATAAAAAGGCCATCTTCTGTTTCAGAAATCAGCAGTCCCATAACACATTGCTCTATAAATTTCTTCCCCACAGACTGGAAAGAGAATGTTCTTGACTAACAGATCTTTCTTGCTGAAATATCACCTGGGAGGTATAGTACTCACTGGCAGGCTTGCACCATCTGCTTACTGAGACTCTAGTAAAGTAGGCAGCGTGTTTCATGTTTGCATAGCACTGATTTAAAGGAAATTGTGTCTGTTTTTATTTTGTCACAGAGGGATATTTATATAAAGCCCAAGTTTACACCAAATTATTGTCTTAACTGTGCACTATTCCAAATGAAGCTTAGCAAACATTTTCCCAAATCCCCGCCTCCCCCAGTATTCATATTTCAGTCTTTACCAGATCAGAGCCAGTGAAGAATCAATAAGTAAATTTTAACACTTCGTGGTTGGTCACTGATTACACTGAGAGCTGTTTGAAGGGTTGCCACAGGGCTGCAGTTTAGACACTAATTCCCCCCTTTTCCCCCCATTTCCAAGTACCATGGTCCTGAATTTTTTGGGCATTTCTACTGGGTACAATGGAGCACAGTAAAGACAGCACCAAAACATGACCATTTAGAACAAGAAGCTGCATGAATATGGAGCTTTACATCAAGCAAGGACTTAATAGTTTCCCCGAGAGAAGCTGATTAGCATGGGGTGCAATGGTGCTATGCTGAAGCTGTATCGCTGTACGAATCTAAAGGATATTGGTGCATCTTGCTGCAGTGAACCAGTGTAGTGCTAACGAACCTGAAAGCACCATGGATAGCATTTCACAGCACTGTACTGTCAGCAGATGTAGCCATTGCAGTCGGCTATGCTGTGCTTTTGCTGAGGATGCAGCAAAGAGTCAAATTAATTAAAAAAATAAACACAATTTACTTGCTCTTCAGCCAGCACTATTCATAACTACACTGGAAAGACTTCTAGATTATTACCACCTATGGACAGAAGGGTAAGAAATTCTCAAGTTTTAAAGTGAAAAAAAAGACCTTTACTATCTCAACCTTTGGATTTCACAGAGGATTTGTTTTTTTCCCCTATCAGATATAGATACCATCTATTACTAAGTGGTGTGATCATTCATCTTTTGTTATTTTCACCTAAAAATATGAAGTACTAAAGTAATAGACAATTATTCATTCTCTTACCTTTAATGCCACAATTTAAATAAAAATGCTTAAGATAAAATGTATGAGATGTAGCATATCCAAATTTGTCATATCTTCTCTTCTTGTGGCAACTGTCACAACACTTTTGTTTCACTTGAAAGGTAGATTCTGTACAATTTTGAACTTTCATCAAAAAGAGTTAAGTCACAAAGAACAAGAAAATATACACATATGCTTAATAATAATAATAATAATAATAAACACTAAAAACATACAGCAAGCAAAATATCTTCATGGTTATTTTTCACTGATCTTTGTACCTATATAATGTTTTTTTGGATGTTTGAATGTCTGAAACTGGCTATGAAGTCATCCTTTACTGCACAAACTAATGTTGCAAATATTTATGTATAATTTAATATAAGCATACAGCCCCAGTGGTGATGTTTACATGCACAACCGTAATCATATATATACATATCTATCAGACAAGTATCTCTTCAATTTCAGAACTGATTTTTAATAATTAATATTTTTATTTGGAAATAAGATTGTTGGAATATGACTCCTTAAAAATTGTTCTACTTTATAGCCAAGAAAATGGTCCAGATTAGATAGATAGATAGATAAATAAAGATGGAACAGATTGCAGTGAAACATGGAACTGGGTATCCAAAGCATTTTGGTTCTCTTAATATTTAACATTATTCTAGTGAAAGGGATTTTTTTCAGCTCTTCAGGTCAAAATACAGCCAAAAGCAACTTCCATTAGAGCAACGTAACAATGTAACCTAAACCTCCAAGTAAAGCATGAAATGGGTTTTTGCCTGGTCCCACCAAGAACTAATGTCAGTGAGCTCACTGTTGTTCATGTCCTAGTCATCTTTTAACCTCAAGCAGACTAGGCTCTTTCATGCATTATTGAAAGACAGCTTTCCCCTGCATAATCTGGCAGCTCTGCAACAATGAAAATAAAAACTTGCATGTGTCTACGTCCTGCTGATGCTCCATGGATTGAAAATGTCTAATTGTACAAGTATAGAATTTTAATAAATATTGATTTTATCCCTGTCCTGAAGAGGATTCTGAATCTTGTCAAACCAGAGTAAACACAGGTACATGTAAATGCAGGCCATGCCAGGGGAGAGGATAAAGAAAAGCATTTTGCCATTCCTTAAAGCTACACAAAGTGTTTTTTTGAAACAGCTTTGTCAGTTGGGATTTGTGTGCTACATTTCTAAGATACAAATACAGGCCTGCAAAATTGCTTAATAACCTTGTATGTAAAAGGACAGCTGAAAAAAATATTTGTACTCAGGATTACGGCCAGCGTTTATCTGGGCAAACTATCTACAGGAAAGACTAGAGTAATGATACCATACTCAGCAAACCACTACAAAAACAAGACAAAAGAACTGCATAAATATGTCTATATAGCTTCCATCACAGCAATGAGAATGTAAAGACAAATACAACTTGCTGCGAAACTTGGCATCTGTTGACTAAGGAAGAAAGACTGTGCAGACAGATACTACCCTAACGCCATTGGAAGACCATGCCTCTGAAATCATTTGCATTGACATACAGAAGTTCATCCAGCCAACAAAGTAGCATCTTTCAGGTTTGGCAGCCCACCAAAAGCAAAACTGGATGTTATTATCATCTTATCTATGATCTTTTCAGCTTGGTCTATGAAAGATCTATTTGGGAAGCTGATCTGGCACAGGAAAGGATTCTAGGGTCTTGGATAAACCTTACTTATTAAAGATTTCAGTGGTGCTTTGAGTATCAGAAATTAAGGAAGAAGGTAATGGCAACTGGGCTAAACTGATGGACTAGCAATCAGAAAACAGAAGTATTAGTTTACCATCAGATGCAGTGGAAGTCAAAAGCCTTTTCTTTTTGACCAATAAATAGTCCAAGTTACAGATTGTTGCTCAGGATTTTCTGGAGAAATAGAAAAGTAATAAAGGGAAATTAGCATATACTTTGAAATGTAAACTATTTCAAAGAGTGACAAGAAAGTATAAGCTGTTAAAAAAAAAAAAAAAAAAGTACTCATATACAATTTAGTTATACTGAATTTTTTTATTTTTTATTTTTAAATCATTTCAAGTATTAAGCATTAACTGAATTCCTATATTCAAAGTTTTGTATGTTTTACTCTCAACTTTTTTTTTTTTTCCATCTGTAATTCTGAAGTGGTTTTAAAGGGAAGGTAAAAAGTCAAAATTCCCATGGAAGTAAAATGGAGCCGCAAGAGGTATTAGTAATCACCCCTTTTTTATTTTTCTTTTAAAGTAATCAGCCAAAATTGCTTTTTAGCCAAGAACTATGCACAGAGAAGAAATGTTTCTTTCTGCTGAAGTTACAAGACAAAGATGCAAAAGGCCTAGGTTGTACAAGAAGTCATAAAGGACTGGTTTTTAATGACTATGAGGGTGAGCACACAGTGATAAAATGTAATGTAAAACGCCTGTGTATTCCCAAAAACAAGCCAAAGGAAGTAGGGGTCTACAGAGGATGGTGTCATTGCAAATAGGAGGCAGCAGATGGTTATGAGTGGGCCTTCAATCCCACAGATGTGAGTCAAAGTGGTGATTGTACAGCCTGCCTCAAGTCCATATCACAAAGAGATAAAATGCCCACCAAAAGATGAGGCTGTTAAACACCCTCTTTTGTTTAAAAAAAATAAAAAAATGTTTGGCATGAAGCTGTCTTAGTGCTTTGAGTTTTCCGACTCAGATGAATGCCAAAGGCCTTCTGCGTCTGTGTCATATCCTTATGTCAGCAAATGACTGGCAATTTCTGCATAGCCTGACAAACATTTGAAAAAGCACAGTGTGAAAATGCATTTCAAATGTCTCCTCCAAATTTTTATTACCAGACCTGAAAATAAAACAGCTCCAATGGCACCAACTACAGAAAAATAAAATGAACCGAAGTTACCACTCGCCCAGACTGGTGATGATTGCAGCTCCTCTCCCTCATCACAGCTCTGCAGCTGTTTGTTGTCAGAATGGAAAGTACAAGCCCTGGCATTTCTCCTCTCTGCCGTACTCTGGATGGCTGCTCAGCACATCGAGGTAATTGACTCATCTTGGCTCAGTCATAACCTCAATCAGCTGGACCATCTCATTTTCCCCACAGCCAAGGAATCCTGCTGTTTGTAATATCAGGGCAGCAGCCAACCTGTTTTCAGAGGGAACCTTATTGCAGAACATCCTTCTGTATCCCTGGGAATTAGCTGGAAGTTTATATGTTTCTTTTGAAAGAGAATACTTTCTCCAAGAAGGGAAAAAAGGCCTTTTTTTTTTTTTTTTTTTTTTTTTTTCCAGAAGGAAAATCTCCAAACAAAAAAGCCAAATCCCAAAACAACAACACTGGGAGCAAGTAAAAGGTAAAAACATTCTGTGTTTGACTTGAGCCTCACACTTAGTGAATTCACAATCAAAATATTTCTGGTCTGGACTTTTACACCCACTGCAGGTTACTTTCATCTCACTGCAGAGTTGCAAACCAGAAATCTCTGGTTTAGATATTTGCAGATTTCAGGGTATCTAAATTGACAATACCCATGTCAATATAAGTGACAGTCTTTGTCTTGCCTCTCTGGAAAAGTACCACCACTCCCTTTTCTTTGTCAAAAAGCTTCTTCACCACTGAGGAAGAGCACTAAAAGATTTCTTCCAATTTGAAGAACAATAAAAGTTAAAGACAAGATTTCCTTTGATGCTTCAGACCTCATTCTACCACTTGCAAAGGCTTTCCTGTGCCGTTACAGACGTGAATCAGTCCATGAAGTCTACTGTTGTAATGCCACTGTTGCGATGGTTACTATTAACAGGAGACATAAGAATGGTCCCAGTATGTGTTGGTAGTATCAGCAGAACTTCCTCTAACTCTCCAACTAACCCAGAAGTTCCAATGAAGGTGATGATAAAAGGTTTTCCAAAGCAATTCCTGCCCTTTCCATGGCATTTCTTCTGTGGTTTTGACATCAGTAATAAAGGCAAGGCAGAGCAGAAGGGCATTTTGGTTCAACCAGCTCCTGCCAAGGGCCGAGCTTCCAGGAGGGAGCAAAGTTCTTTTTTGCATGTAGAGCAAAGGCCTCTGCTCTGTGCTTTTCATTTCTCTGGCAGAAACTGGTGCCCATGAGGTATTTCTTTCCTGAGCAGACTGGGTATGTCCTTTCCCTTCCCACAGCTCCTTGGGCAAGCATCTGTTATGCATCAGCATATCTTATCTTCAGCACCCAAAGTTCCCTGTCATGCACTGACTAAATGCTGCAGAGGCAGGTCATCACACCCAAGCATCACCTTGCCTGCCCAGGAGAGTCTCACAGCCCCACACACCTGGCCCTAGTTTGGCATGCTGAGAGCAGAGCCTACTGAACTGACATCTTGTCACAACACGCACTGCCAAAACATTTCAGTCAAGCTCCAGTATTTTCTATTACACTGGCATAAATAATTACAACTCAGAGAAGAAAAGCAGCTTTTTAGCTGGTGCATTAAAGAAAGGAAAATAATATTTTCCTCCAGAGCATTAAGCTTGGAGACGATTATCTGTCCCCTCTAACACTAGCTTTTATTTTTTTCAGAACAGAGAAAAAGGAGAAACTGCTGATGCTTTAGCAGACTGTGGTGCTCCTCACAAGCTCTGGCCCTCCAGAATTGCTTCCATTGTCCTTCATGTAAATGCAGTACATTTCCCACACTTTTCTGATTTGCTTCTGGTATTTTAAACTAGTCTGAACAAAGTTTTGTGGACGTAGCTGTTGGTGGTGGTACTGTTCCTGACCCTTTTCACCTTCCCTTTTCTCACTTGTTTTCAGCTTGCAAAAATCCCTATCCTTTATGCTCATCCCTCTGCAAAAGTATTACTTTCTAACTGAGTCCATCTGAAATCAGGGCAAGGAGATACATGAATTCAGACTTTCTCTATTCTTGAAAAATTTCTTTTTTTCTCTTCACTTCCCTGACTCTGCAATAGCTCATCTGCTGTTTTTTTTTTTTTTTTTTTTTTTCCTTCCAGTCTTCCTCTCTCATACGAATCCCAGAAGATGAAGATAGCTTCCATAAAAATTGACATCACACTAGTAAAATTTAGCTTCTGAAAATATTTTGTGGTGTGCTAAATTTATCCTTTGGTTTGAAGTACCTCAGTTGTTATTGCAACACATAAGTCGCAATTGTAAGTCACCTATGCAACATGATATGAATGTACAGCTTTACCAGCAATGATTTCTCTAGTTATGGGAATCAAGTTCTGGAACCAGGCGTGCAAAGTGCCCAGTAAGAGATACCAAAAGCTTGCAACAGGATTATCATTGATACCAAGTAGTAGCATTGTTCTGCAACACACGGCATTTCCCTCTGAGGCACCTCACACTTTATCACAGAAAATGCTCACTAAATGATGATTGCTTTCACTTCAGCTCTGCTAGGGAATCTAACTGGGGAAAAATAAATTACTGGAACACTTCTAATTTTTGTTTGTTTGTTTGTTTTTGATGGAAAAACACTTCACATGTAAAAATCAAAATATTTTGCAGAAATGTGTTGACTTTTTTTTTTTTTTTTTTTTTTTTTTTAGGAACTGGGCAGATTTTCAGAAGAAACCTATCTGTTGTACTGTCAGCCTCACTGTTTGTTAAGCCCAACAGCTGTCTACCTGGTGGCCTTCCAGTGTCCAGCTACTGCGTATCCCAAACCCAGTATGTAGGGATCAAAAAATATTGTACTCCTTATCCATAAGGCAAGAAAAAGCACTGTTCCATGTTTAAACCTGTTGGGCATATAAGACACCGAGACATTTCTTGCCCTCCTCCAGGAAGCTCCTTATGTAGCTTTGCTGAGAAGCATACAGGTTACACAGCAAGGGACTGCAGCATGAAATTAAGCTGCAAAAGGGATGGGAACACAAATTACCATTAACAGCCAGTAGCAATTACCTATGTGTTACAGCTTGCATATATACATGAAAATTCATACTCAAAATATATACCAATATGCATGCATATAAGTTTGGGAAACACATTTCATCCTCTCTCACATAACAGGAGGTATTTTTGGTGCAGTTTTCTGAAAACTAGGCAAAGGGTGTAAAGTAAAGAAGCTACAGAAGTTGGCATTATTTCCACTTAATCAGTAAGAAATCATTACAGCTTTGCTATGAAAATGAAACAACTCTAGTCATACAAGATACATCATGACACAGAAAAATTAGAAAACACTCTGAGCTCTGCACAGCAAGATTTGTAAGCCTGCCAGCAGAATCACAAACTCGCACAGCTCTAATTTGTCTAGGAAAAAAAGGGGTGTTTAATTGCTGTGCATAATAAACACAGAGACGTCAGAGAGCAGCCATGGATAACATGCACAAGTAGATTCCAGCTGTATCGCTAAGGAAATATAAAAGTGATTTATTTTATATCTCGATGCTAAGTCCAATAAATCACATTAAAATAAAATGACTAAATTTCCCTAAGTGCTCAGCACTCAGCAGCTCTTGCTGGCCTCACTACCGAGCTCTCTTGGAAATGCATTCATTTCATTTAGGTATCTGCAGGGTATGGTGCCATGCAGCTTTACCTGAGCTGTGATGGGCTCTGCAAGCAATAGCTTTTTAGCACGTTCAATTAGCCCATACAAAGCTGAGCACTAATGTAGTCCTCATGCTCCTAGCACCTGAACTAGTTTATTGAGAGCTAACTGGTCAGTCTTCTCTCTGCTCCATGTGCAAATCCTCCAAGCATCAGATGATTGCTTTCAAAAGCCTGTCCGGTTTGCATTGCTTAATTATAGCCTCTAGGGGCTAGCCCTTGTATAAATATCTAGTCAGAAATTCATCTTTGTTCTGCTTCTAGCTACAGCCTGTAAAGATCACCAGATGCCTGATGTGTACATGAATTGGATTAGTACAACATTATGTTTATATCTCGGAGTTTATTTCTTTTCACCAAAGAGTGAGTTGAGAGAATACAATGGAGCCAACATACCAGAAAGGATATGAAGTACCATAAATTTTGGTATGGAAAGGTCACTAATTAACCTGCAACTAGCCTAACGTCAATATTCGTATTCTCTTCTCAAGATATTTTTTTTATTGGTAGCTGGAGAGGAAAAGACATGTTCATGAAAACAAGGGAGGCAAGGAAGAATTTTTCTTTAGCTGGGGTGCTCTCCAAGTCACAATTTAGCCCACTGCAACTGTCTGCCTCAGTGAAATCCTTAGGGTATCTTGTATGCAAAGCAAGTTACTATCTACTTTGCAAGCAATTTGGGTTCTTTTTTTTTTTTTTTCCCTATTCATTTAACCTTACTTGTCTGAAGATGTCTAAGACTTTATTGACTTTAATTCAGAACTTACAAATCTTGTCAAAGTGTTGATATTTTGTCCTTGACAAAGACAAATTTTAATTTAATAATCAGTTCTTTTTTACCTTGCCTTCTCTGCTATATCAGCTTTAAGACAAAAACAAAAAGTATTCATTTCCATACTGAGATCACAAATCACTATCAATGTCTTGAGCAGTAGATGACAAACCACTGTTACGGAGTTTTATTTGAAGCTTTAGACACCTCTGGATTTATCACTTGTCACAGAAATCTGCACATTCTCACTATCTGCAAATACCCTGTCTTTACTTCAGAGGATTTTTACAGTAAAGTCAACACAAAAATTCTGTCTGAAATTCCCATAAAAGTAATAGGGCAATCAATAAAGTTGAATTTAATGTGATTTTTTTTTTTTTTTGTATATACTTCTTTAAAGAGTAGGATTTAAGTGAGAATTGGACCAGTGTTTACCTGATTCAGGAAATATATTGCTGACTTTCAAGGTATCTTGAAAAAAATATTTATAAATTAGGCAAGAACTATGTGCTTGAAATTAATAGCAGAGATAAGAATCTGGCTTGCTTTCCCATCCTCACCCTCTGCTGTTGGTATACATGTAACACGCTTAAGATCTTCCAAGTCCTTCAGAATTTACATCATTCTAAACAAGAACAACACCAGAAAATCATGGTAGATCATGGTAGACTGTTCACTTTTTCATTTTAATGTTGGAGGGTCTTCAGTTTGAATAAAAATTGTGCACAACATTGAGGGCATTTTTTTCCATGTTCACAGTGCTGGTAAAAAAGATTTACCTGAATATGAAGAAGATATTGCCACAACAAATAGAGATAATAAATAAATTCATCCTTTGTTCTAGTGGAAGGTGCACAGTTGGAGAAAGGAGAGACTTGGGACTCAGGATTATTTAGTGCAGGGAACTGTTCAGCCATCTGTCCATGAACAGATAGCATCCTCTCCCATTAGTGCTGAAATAATCTCTTTGCAACATCTTGCTAGATCAAGGTTGGTAATGAAAAACTGACTGAAAGAATGGGATATAAAAGTCATGTTGAAGAAAGACATTAAAAGAAAACTTTAATAGAGAAGACAGAGGAGAGAATATTATGTTGCTAAGAATATAAAGAAAAACAGTGCCCCCCAGAACTCTGGCATACTCAGAGAGGGAAAACATATTCATATTAACTATACAGATGGAAAATTCTCTTTGAACACCACAGAAAAAGTACACCAACTCAAACCAGTTAGCCAACAGGTAAAATATTCAGCAAATGTTAAATGAAAACATATTTAAGTATTTTGAAGAGTTATCAAAGTGTACATAATAATAGCTAGTAAGAAAAGCTGAGTAAATCATTTGCCAGAATCACTCATTTAAAAACAAACAAACAAACAACTTTCAGATAGTTGACAGCTTTTATAGTTGTCACATATGGCTAAGAAAAGGCATAAGTTTTGAACTACTTCGAAGCATACAAAAAAGTATATATATAACTCTATGCTTAAACAGGTGTTAAACTGCCTCAAGAAATAAGAAATATAAAGAATACATGTAATTTTTTTGAATGAGATCTTTTTGAAACTTGGAACTTAACATTTCTCTGGGAATTGAAAGGTACTTGAAGCATTAGGGTGAGAAGATTCAGGCATTCAAAGTGTGAAGCCTGTGTTTAAGCTCATAACCTATGATTCAACTACAACCTTCTATCTACCTGCCACTGTTTATATGACAAATAAATCAGTGTTATGGGATTTACATAATTGATCTGTATATAAGCAGCAAGTTAAAATAAAATGTTGAACTTCCTTTGTCAGAAATGAGAAAATATACACTTCCATTTTGCATCTTAGTGAGCAAACAGATTTAAAGCTTGCATCTCAGAGTATGTATGAATCACATCAGGTTGTGCGGTCAAATACATAAAGGCCTAGAAGTCTCCTAATGACTTTACAAGTCATCTTAAAGCCATTCAATTTAGATAACCTTTTCAGAATAATGGATTCTAAAGCTGCAGTTCAGCACAAATCTGGCAATTTTACTGTATAGCACATCCACATCTTTGAGAAATGATCAAGGAAAGATTAAACCACTTCACAATAGGATAAACTATTGCTTCAACTTGCAGTTTTAAGTGAAGCACTATCAAGATCATCTTGAAGAACACTGCTTTAATATTTAGATTCTCTAGCACCCAGAATGCTCTTTTAGGTTTATCAGATTTGCCATAAGAGAGAGAAGGAAGATTTACTAAGTCAATATTGCTTGCTAAACTACATTTCTCAGGCTGACTTACAAGCACATTATGCTTTATAAATTAAACTGGACTGTCAAGATAAATGCATAGGCAATACAATGCCATTTGTAAGTAAATGCCTCTTTATGTTTAAACAGGTTCTTATAGACCAAAACGCCGAATCTCTTTTTTCCTAACAACTTTATAAATCTAGAAGCCAAAGGAATAAAATGAAAAGGAAATGGGCCATAGGCCTGTGTGAAGGATTGATGACTCAGATAGTACTAAGTGCATCAGAAATTATTATTATTTTTCTTGTCTTTGGTTGGCTTTCTTCTAATCATCCTGGGGAGATGGGAGTGGAGGTGAGAGAGGATGGGAATAAAAGAAACAGCAATTTTAACTTTTTAATCCTCGTTCTAGAAAGACTGCTTTATTTACCTACATGTCATGAGACAGATAGTACTAACTCAGCAAATTACTTGTTCTGCTGGATATGCGGTACATACTGCGGTTCACCCTGCCACTTACAGTAAAGTGACACCCTATTATAGTTGCAGAATGACTACAGATTAAAATTGCAGAAACAGTCACTAATTATCACTCCTGAGAAGGGAACATCAGTTTGTAAACTACGTAGTAATAATCTGCTACCCTGGTCCCAAAAGTCTGTGATCCATCTATTTAGTGAAATAGAAAGCCCATAAATATACAGCAGGAATGCATCAGCAAAAAAGATACCTCAAATCCTGCAGCCCTTTGTGAGGCTGGACTGTATCAGTTCCACTGCAGGCTGGTCTTTGCCTGGATTATAGGGAGAAATTTTTAATTTCTTTCTTAATTTACCAAATTAATATCTGAAATAGTTATTTCTGTCGTTCTGTCATTTTGTTTTAACATGCTGTAGCTATTTCAATGGGCAAGCAAAAATAAGCATCTTTGCAGCTGTAAAAACCATGAAAAGCAGTGCAAAGTGAAGCCAGACAAGCATACGTGATTTCAAATCCCATTTTCAAAGATGGTAGACTGCTATAGAGCTAATGATTCCTTCTCTGGCATTTAGCACCATTCAGGAACATATACCCAAAGCTTGTTTACAGTCTCTGTGGAAGAAACAAAAAGATATACATAAGCATTTATAACGACACACTGTTTTATGCTTTGAAAGTCGATACAGATTCACAGTTTGCAGTGCATAACTCATTAGCTGTAGGCTGGTACAGCACATCCTACATTATGAAGCACTAACAATACAAGCTATGGAAGCTGTGAAAGGAAACATTATCTCATATACAAGTCTGTCTTCCCAGCTCTGGAGCCCTCGAATACGATGCTGTCACATAAACAGAGCAAAACTTCCTTGGTTGCTCTAAGGGCAGTTCTTCAGAAATCCTATAGGGTAAGTTATTTAATTAATACATCAAAGCTAAATCTGTAAAGCCTTAAATCCTAATCAAAAGATTTTGCTTACAAGGAACCCCACACACAACAGATGCACCCTGGGCAAACTGTAAACTTTTAATATCGAAGTAGCCAGATGAAGTGAAGGTTTACGCCTGCCAAATGAACTGCCTGTTGTATGGCTGCCAAGGACAGATGGGAATTTCAAGATACAACTATGGCTTAAAAACTGCATTGGGTTTACATGTCCAGGGGTGGTGGAACCTGTGTGCAACGAGAGGCCAGGCTGCCCCATGCTGGACACATCTGGTCCAAGATGGCTCCAGGCCCGCTGCAGCGCACACCATGTGAATAACATTCCTGTTTAACTGCACAGTTTAAATGAAGTGTCTTTGCACTGGTCTCTCCACCCTCATGTTTTTATAAGTTTTGTCCAGAAGGGAGTACAGATTAAAAAGTAGGAAACCCTGGTCTGTGTGAAGGTGTGAAATAGAAGGTAGCCTGGATGGTTTTACTCAAAATACTACAAGAAAAGTGAAACAGAAAGGTCTCACATTTCCAAAACCCATGCTTTTCCTGACTCCATAACAGTTTCCAGTCAACAGTCAGCTTCAAAGATTCCAAGAGAAGTTAGTGCAATTTAGTGAAAAGTGGAGGATGTTGGTAGGCCCTTGGGAAACAATTGTAAACGTCACTATCAAGTGAGGCCTAGACAGAAATAAGTTATTGCTTATAATAAATTATTAGTTATTACAGTAAGACTGAGGATTTAGAATAAATATTTTTTTCTGGACATATTCCAGACTTATCTTCTAATCAGATTGTCTTGACTGAGGACCTATCTGCAGAGGTTAGTTTTCAGAGTGGAAATGTTATCATGATTATACACAGGGACTGTGGTGTAAATGCCTGAAGTAACTAGGAAACTAAAACTAACATTCACACTTTTAAGGAAAAGGTACAGCATTGAAGAGGCTTTCAGGGTAGGGCATAACTGCATTACCTGAGCATTCCCTAGGCTCCCAACCTTAGATTCTATCGCTCTGGGGAAACTTCGTGTGCTAGTCCTAAGGAACACCACGGGGCGTAGAGTGGAGTGGAGACACCATGGCTAGGCTCTGTAATCAGGTGGGGCCTCGATTGTTCTTGTGCACAAAGCTGCACTTTTTGCCACCCTAAGCCAAAGACCTGTCATGTTTTGACAAATGCTTTACCCTAGTGTACTTTTTGCTCATTATAATATCATTATAATACCAAAACACACCTCCATCCCAAAAGCTACCCGCCTCCAAGGTGCGACCACCCCTCACTGAGCATGTGCTCTGAATTTCTCGGAGCCTATTACTTTAAACGGAGACGGGAAAACTTTCATAAGTCAATCATAACTAAGATATGCTTGACTAGAGCCACTCAAGCTCCACCTAAAAGATAGAAAATAATATAAATTGGCCCGAGAGAGAGGGGATGTTAGGGAAGATACCACCGTCAGGGGAGATACCATCCCGAGGACATACAACATCCTTAGGACCTCCTGACTCCTGGGATCAGTCGACGGGCTGAGCCTCTCTTCCCCCCCCATTGGGACGCCTTTGGGTGAGATCTGAATACTTGCTTATAAATCTCTATATAGAGTCTTATAATCTTTTAACGCGTTTATTTCTAGGCTGCGCACCTGTAACACCTGTAACACTTATAACATCTGTAACATCTATAACATCTATAACATCTATAACACCTACAACACCTGTGTATTTCATGCATACTAGCTTGCTTTTGCAGATAGTCACTATCACCGGCAATCCAAAAGAACCTGATTATCTGTTGCTGTAATAAACCATACTTGATTGCATTGTGATAGCTCTCATTAATGCAACTAGGGTGAGGGTGGTTATCCGTGATAGTTCAGTGTTCTGAATCTAACCAGACCCCCAGACGGTTAATGCATTTTTGGTGAATGTCTGAGCGGACCCCCAGGTGGTTAATACGTTTTTGGTGAATGTCCGACTGGTTCAGTACTCTGAATCCAACCGGGCCCGTAACGGTTAATCAGCTACACCCCTTTAACGCGACAGGGACGCATGGAGAACACTGATCAAGAACTGGAAAAGTAAGAAACACATGTCTATGTCCTTATTTTTTTTATTTTTTTATTTTTTTTTTTACCTTCTCATGTTTGTTGAGAAAAATTTGGCCTGCCCTAATTCTTCAGCACAAATACTCTTAGTCCTTCGGCAAGTAAAACACAAATGTAAGTGCTTCCAATGACTATCACACTAAATTAAATTCTGAGTGTACACAGAGTGTTGTTTATCACCCCCAGATGCCGGGTGATGATTCACTGGAGGAGAGCAGGAAAAATAATGCAATCTTTCCACAGAACAACCTAGTGGGGCACAGGACTAGAATCAGAGCTGCAGAACCCAGCAATCTGCCTCTGCCTGACACATCTGGTGCAAGGGATGCACTGCCACCATAAAACAGCACACCGTACTGCAGCCTGGCAACTCTTGCTGTGGAAGGGTTTTGCTGCTTTGCTCAACAAAAATGTTCCAGCAGGTATTTAGAAAATGGCAGTAGTAGTCAACTAACTAGATAGAGAAGCCAACTAGATAAACAATCCAGGACCAAAATAAAAAGACACGCAATCAAATTGGTGGTTTCACTTGAAGAGGTGCTAATTTGAAAATCAACTACAGTGAGTTTATTGTAATAGTCAGCTGTAATTGAGAATGGAATTTGGCTGTTATAACCAAAATAACATTAAGAAACAAGAAAACGTGAAAGCAGTTCAGTATTACAGACAAATTGACATTATATAGTTTAGAAAACTACCAGAGATGGGCTTAAAGCCATTAAATTTATGTTTTAGGCTTATGTTCTCCTTCATTTCCCCCCTCCCCAAATGGCAGTGGGAAAATACACATAATCTGGCTGATATTTTCTGAAATGTTGTCTCTCTTCTAAATAAATGCTTTGACCCAACATTGGATGAACTGCAGACCCCTAAGTTAAGTACTTAGGTCTTACTGTCCAATTCTAAGGGAAAATTGTAATGCAAACGTTCTGATTTCTGTTGGAACAGAATAGCCATATATAGTAACTCTACAGTATAGTTTGTGCCTATGAGAAGACACATATTTCTTTCTGCCCCATCAATTAAGTATTTGATCTC